GTACCTTTGGGGATTTTTTATCGTCTGCTTTTTCTGGTAGCTGAAGTTGGTCAAAGGGATGTCACTTTTTAAATAATACATGTGAAATCTTGGTTCTAGGAAATTCACTGTTGTATACAGCTGCCTTTGATGTGTATGTATGCATATAGCCCAAGTTAAAAAAAAAAAAAAAGAAGAAGCCCTGAAGTGTACGAGTGTTAGGGTGGTTAAAAAAAATTTCTGAAGTACAGCCTCTCCCTTTTGTGAGGCCAGTGCTTGTTTTGCTGATGTTTCTCATGTCATAGAGCTACTGCTGGCTCTGTCCTGCTCTCTGTCAGAAGAAGGTGAAGGCTGAGTTATTTTGTGTTGACTGCGTTCCACAGACTTGGAAATCTTTATCTGTAATGAAGAGAATTGGACAGACATAATGATGATCCCAGATTATGGAGGATGGAAGGACCTCCAGCTTGATGCAGAGGGATACCACCTTCTAGCCCAGCAGAAAGGCTTGGCTTGGCTTTGTTTGGCTTTGTTTGGTTTTGTTTTGCCATGAAATGCTCATTCAGCTACAGTGGCAGAAGCATTAATGTTTCAAACCTTACCATCATACCCTGATGTGAGGCTGAAATGAGAATAACCCACGAGATGGAAATTGAGTTGTAAATGATACTTGAGTGTTTTGACAGCCTGTGCAGTACAATAGATATATCTTGCAGCAAACCAAGGGACAAACAAGAGAAGCCTGAAGGAAATTGGGTGCTTTTTAATCAGACCTTTCTCTGAGAGGAAGAACTGCTTTTGCTTATTCAAGATTTTTGGACCTGGCTGGAAGTTGAGTTTTAATCTCCCAGGTAAGTGCCAGGATTTAAAATTGGTACAAGCAGCTGTCTGAACCTGAGCCTTGCAGGCAGCACACCTCGTGTCCTGTCTTTGTCAGTCTGTCACCCTAGCAAACAGTTCAGTGGGCTGTTCTTCCCTCTTCAGATGCTGGCTCTTGTGTTCTTACCAAGGCTGAGGTGAGGCTGAGATTTACATTTCATTCCCTTTCATTCCATGTGTTCCCTGCTTTATGATGCCCTCTGGATCTCCCTCCCTTCTATCCCTCTGTTTTACTGTAGGACTTTAAGACAAATGTGGTTTTGGCCTCTCAGCATCTTCTTACTCACTTTCTGATCCTTCTTCTTGGATTTTCCTTTTCCATTTTCCAAGGGCAGAAGTTTCTCATTGAAGACAGAGCACTGGTGAGAAGTCAAGAACCAAGGACAGGTTTAAAAACAGAGTTTGGTTTGCCTGTAGTCACAACTGGAGGTGGAGAGAGGACACAACTCTCTGAACTCTAAAGCTTTAGGAAAAGACAAATTCTAAGCAAAGTTTACCCTTCATTTTTCTTTCAATATCTCTCATAGAACTCCTCATCAGGGGAATAACTGTGAGCAGTTTCTGATTTGGTTCTTGGTGCAGAGGGGCTGGAAACCAAATGATTTTTTTCCCCCAAGATTTAGCAGTAGGTGAAATGTGAGAAATCCCTTGACAAAGGCCTCTGCATATGAAGTGTGGGACAGCACGTCTGTTGGGGGCTGGTTGGTTGTTCATTTGTTGTCTTTCCTTTGAAGGTGAATTATTTTGTTTGACTCAGCTCTCGGCACGTTTCTCTCACAGAATTATCTCGTTTGGAGCTGGGCTGTGGCCGTGGCTCTGTCCTGCCCAGCCCAGCCCAGCCCAGCGCCTGCCCTGGGCTGACAGCGGCCTCAGGGTTGTGCTTTCAGAGCTGGTGGAGCCTGGCTGATGAAATCTGCTCTGCGTGTTTTTGGATCCATGTTTTGGAAAGGTGCTCCCAAGTCAGATGTATTACTAAACTCGTGTCCTTGGGCTGGAGGAAGGCTCTGGGCTGGAGCAGCACGGTGCTGAGCCCAATCCCATGTGGGCCTGATCCCTCAGAGCTGGGTTCCATGTTCCTTGTGGGCCCCTTCCAACCCAGGGTATTCTGTGAGTCTCATCCCTTGATCCTTCTGAGATCAACCTCTTCTGGTTTGTGTACTAATGGGAATGGAAGACATTGAAATCCTCCATGAAGTTTTTGAAAATGCTTGAGGATGGCCAAGCCAGCAGAAGCTCTGCCTCCTTCTCCCTGTGTGCCCAACAGTGCCCACTCAGCTCCTGGAATTTTATCTTCTCCCCTTCTGTCTTGCAAAGCTTGTAGCAGAGTGATGATGTATCTGTTACCACTTTTTTCAATCCTGTGATAAATCAGGTAAGAATAATCCAATCCATTTTTATTGACTTTACCTTAGGCTGACTTACAGGTGGTACTCCCCAGAGTATTTTCTGCATTACAGCCCCTAGTGTTTTATGCTACATAAATATATAAGGCTCACATAGTATTGCATTGCTATTCAAGCTTTATTTAAACTCCTTTCTGTTGGAAGCAGCTTGCCTTTCTGTATCAAGTATCACAGTACTCTCCACATGCTGATAGTGTCAGCTGTTTCAAGGCTTTTTGTTCAGTGGGCTTTAAAATACTGGTAATTATGCCTCCTTTGGGGCTAGTTGCTTTGTCTTTAGGAAAAATCTCTCTTATATGGATTGAATGTGCTGCTAAATTTCATTTAGTGTATGAATTTCTATTTCTAATTTTGTACATTGATTTCTATGGTTAGAAATTCTGCACATTAGGCACTAACCTTTGCAAAGCCTTTAATGTATGTGATGCTGGGAGCAGAGATGAAGCTGTTCCTAAAAATGAAACATCATGGAACACTTTTTGGGGATTGGCATGTAATTCAAAGATGAGGTCTAGTAAATCATCCTGTTCTAAATTAAGCCCTCTGATTTAAGGCCAAATTACTTTGAAAGCATGTCATTATAACCAGGGAAGACTTGAGCCAAACTCAGCTAACAATTATGATGAATTTGTTCTTTATTTCTGCTTTTGATTTCCTTATATAACAGCCAAGAAAAGCCCTACTAGCTGTTGCAGCATTATACTATTACTATTATTATTACTTTTCTCATTACCATACAGATTTGTCTCAAGAGCTGCAAAGTTTCCTTGCTGGCTGATTTCCTTGCTTTAATTGTTTAAACAAACAAAAATAAACCCATGCCAAAACTTAGCAGTTCTGAAAGCAATCAGTATTTCTGATGCTGTAATACATTTCATTTTTCCACTGGCTGGGAAAACTAGCAAAGGCATTGAAAGAATGAATTTGAATATTTATGATACCCATTAACAAACTATATATTCATAATATTATTTAAAATGTAGAATCTTTCTTTACATGTGTGCATATATACACACAAAACCACACCTTTTTTCTTGCTAAATATGTATTTTAATCTCTCATAGTTAACAGCTTTATACAAAGAGAAGAATGTAAGCTGTGTTTCTTTTTAGTGTCTACTATCTGGAAGATGGAGATGAATAAAATTTTAATCTATAGATATTATTATTACTACCACTACTATTATTACTATTATTATTATTTTACAAAAGTCTTTCTGAATAATTAACTAAGATAATGAATCCGTAATTTTTGTGCCAGGGCCAGGGAAAGATACTTTTAAAATTACATTCAGATGGCTGTTACCAAGGCTACTGAATGTGATGGGTTTTGTTTTCAAATAGTGTGAAAGAATAGTAGCTCAGAGCTGTTCTCACATTTTGCATTTTTAGAAGATTCCTTGGTGTGAAAGTGGCCATACTGCTACAGCAGCAAATCTCTATATATTGATTAGGTGCATGAATGAGATTTTTTTTTTTCCTAGTGTATGGCACAAATAAAATATGCAAAACACTTTCTAAGGAGCATCTGATGTGTGAGTGGTTTAAGCTGGTTACTTGGTTGAGCCCAGCTGAAAAGGGGGATTGGTCCCTGGAGCAAGGTGACACCACCTGACATGTCCAGAGACAGGAGGAGCAGCAGGATCCTCTCCTGGCTTTCCCTTGAGCTCCATGCTGAGCCTGCTGCAAACCTCTCCATCTCCATCCTCCCCAGCTGGCACCTGGAGCTTCCTGCAGGAGTTCCTGGGTGCTGCAGGAGCCCCCTCCACCTCTACAATACTGCCTTGAGATTTACATCACTGCCAAGATGAGACACTTGGGATTTAGATCACTACAAAACTGAGACGCTGGAGATTTAGATCAGTACAAAACTGAGCTTCTTGAGATTTAGATCTCTGCAAAACTGAGCTTCTTGAGATTTAGATCACTACAAGGCTGAGATACTTGAGATTTAGATCTCTGCAAAGCTGAGATACCTAATATTTAGATCAGTACAAAGCTGAGATACTTGAGGTTTAGGTCTCTGCAAAACTGAGCTTCTTGAGATTTAGATCACTACAAAACTGCGACACTTCAGATTTAGATCACTGCAAAGCTGAGATTTAGATCCCTACCTCTGTGTGCTTTTTGCTGTGTCCCAGGATGCTGCTGGGGTGCTGCAGGTGGTTGTTGGTGCTGTGGCTTTTACTCTGTGGCCCGTGCCCAGCGCAGCCCTGGCTCTTTGGAGCTGGGCTGGGGATGTGCTCCAGCTGTGTGGAGGGCTGATCCTTTGGGTTGTGCCTTCCTGGCACTCCCCCCACCCAGGGACAGCAAGAGGTCTCCTTGCTTTCTCTTGATTTCTGTACTTTGATTTTGTGTTGGGAACTGCCCTAGTTTTAAAATGCCTAAATTTGTGTGTCTCTGGTGGACCCTCATGGTGACTAAAATCAGTATTCCAGAGCTGTGTCTGTGCTGCTTTTCCCTGCTGAGCAAGAACGCTGCCAGAAAAAAAAAACAAAACAAAAAAAACCAAAACAACAACCAGCTCCTTATTTTACATTTTATTTATTTTCTTTTTTTTCCTTTTTTTCCTCTTTTTTTATTTTTTTTTCTCAGGGAATAACTAAAAGCTACAGAGGCCATAAAGGATGTAGCTCATTTTATGGGCTTCACTATTGGTGCTCTAAAACAATTTTTTTTCCAGAAAAACTTTTTTTTCAAAAATCAGCATGTAAACAAGAAGCCACTTCAGCCTCACAGGCCACGCTGCTGTGATTTCCTCCCTGCTGTCTCGCTCACCAGCCGCCAGGAGTGGGCTGAGGAGGTGTCCTCCTCTGCACTTCCACACTGAGGGTACACCACAAAGCACAGCTTCTGCCCCCAGCACGTCAGGGACTCTGCAAGGAGCAAATCACCAGCGTTACTGGGTGGTTAGTGGGGTCTTCTACACAAAAATGTGATGCTGGAGCCACGTGGGAAGGATCTGCCCAGCCCTGAGTGCCCCCTCCCACCCTTCTCTCTCCAGCTCAGTCAGCCAAGTGTTCCTGAAGCAGGGCAAGTGAAGGTGGGACAGCTTTAGGGACATCTTTCCCCAGCCCCTCACAGAGCTGCCAGTGCTGCCTTGGCAGGCTGAGGGGATGGGATGGCATCCATGGGATGGGGGCATGGCATGGCACAGCATGGCATGGCTGCCCTCCTGGCACTGTGTCAGCCCAGCTGCAGTGACCACTGGCCATGGGGAGCTGCTGGCAGTGGAGCCAAGTGCAGCTGGCAGAAACCCTCCAGTGAGAGCAGAGGGCTGCAGTGTCCTGTTTGAAATTCCTCACCTTGGAGCAAAGTGATTAAAACCAAGCACAACCAAAACACAGAAGACAGAATTTAAGCAGGGAGGGCAGGGAGGCAGACAGTGCTGGCTTACCTATTAGCCTATTTACACACTTTGGTTTATTTCTCCAGTAGACTCCAAGGAAAAACACTGGCACTCCAGTTAAAATGATAATGAGTCCAACCCCACAGACGATGGGCTCGGAGTACAGGCTGAAGACCAGCAGAAAGGCCCAGAACGCCAGGTAGGTGATGGGGATGAGGAGGTTCACCTACCAGGAGAGAGCAGAGCAGAGCAGGACTGTGCAGAGCAGTGGCTGTGGGGTGGGGGGCTGCAGGCAGGGCAGGCTCCAGGCCCCCCAGGCTGTGTCCCCTTCCCTCCACCACCGTTCTCCCCTCTGCATATCCCAACAAGTTCACAAGAGACCTGCCTGGGACATGGTCTGGGAGGTGTCCCCATCCCACCCTTTGCACGACTATTACAACCCAGAAATGTAGCTGTAACAGTGTCACCTTGATAGGTCTGAAGATTTTGGGTTTCTTCCAGCGTAAAACAATCAGGCCTATAATGGTCACTCCATAGCAGAGGTAGTTAATGAACGACACGTAGTTGATGAGCGTGTATGTGTCTCCAACCAGCATGATGATGAGCGTGGCCAGACACTGCAAAGAGAGGAAGCACAGCCTTCTTCAGCTGTTACTGGAAAAGGCAGCTTAAAAGCAGCAAAACCAAGCAGAAATCCCATTAAAGCATTAAAAAATCCCTTTGTTTGTGGCACCTGCTGAGCGTGTGCTGCTTCCTGGGGCTCTGTTCCTTACCCCAGGGCTGTGCCACCAGGGCTGGGGCTAAATGGGTATTTGGGATGATTTGGGCCATGCTGAAGCCAGAGGCTAGAGGGTCTGTTTAAAAACACCCTGGGGTGCTGGCACAGGTGTCTCTGCTGCCCATGAGTAGGCAGGCAGGGCTGGGAAGGCTGGCAAACCTCCCACTCCACCTTTTTCTGCGAAGTGTCTTAAAAGCTGTTGAACCTTGTGGTGAGGACTCCAGGTGAAAGGGTTTCTTAGACTTTACATGTTGTGTTTCAGGCACTGTGCTGTTGCAGGTGCTCTGTATATTATAAAGAATTAGAGGTTTGCCCTTTCTCTTGCTGCCTCATGTCACAGCTGATCAGCATCATCAATCTTATGAGCAGTACTAATGTTTGGAAACTGGCAGATGGATGGTGGACATTTCCTTGCTTTTGCTTGCTTTTTTGAACTCTATGTCTGCCCAATGCTGATAGGGAATTGATTTTCACCTTTTTTGCTTTTATATTCTCTCTATATTCTGTACACATACATTTGTAGTGCTTTATATTATATACACTATTATAGTATTGATAGCTAGCTTTTTACCTACTCTATTAGACAGAAAGACAAAATAAATTCCCCAGTGGCTCCAAGCTGGGGGTCCAAGTTTAGATTTTCTGGAAAGCCAAGGTTAAAACCAACTCTCTGAGACACATTTTCATTAACAAAGTTTAGGTCCTATCTAATTGGGGGGGAGATTCAGAAAGGGTTGACCTGAGGGGGATTGCCTCATCATTTATGGGGTTTCTTGTCAGTTATGCTAATTTGCTAAACATATGGAAATTGTATGCACTTGATGTTATGTGTGCATCTTCGTCGCCTTCAACCGAGTGAGTTGTGCACCTGAGGGTCCTTGTGAAGGTAACTCCTTTTCAGCACCTGTGTCTAGCTTGTGATTTTGGGACCAGCAAAAAGGCACCAATACTGTAAGCCCAGGAGAGCTGATTTGGGGGCCAGGGCACTGCTCCTCGAGCCCCCCACCCACTCTTGGCTACCACAGGGGCTGAGCACTCACCTGCACAAAATACCAGCCCAGTGAACACTGGGGCCCAGAGCCTCAGGGAAACTAAATATCCAGATCCTTCCAGAGAGTGCTCAAGATTTGGTTTGTGTTGATCCAGACTCCCTTTGTGCTTCTGTCTCTTTTTTCTCAATTAGCTCTTTCCATAGTAAATTCCTCCCAGGAGGGAAGGTTTCTGCACCTCCAGCAAAGGAACTGAGCACCACCACAGCCACACACCCTGTTGGTCCCTCTGTTCCCCTGTTCAAAGCCTTGCAGGCTTGGCAGGGGGATTTCAACACCTTGAACTGTCTGACCACAAAATGGATTTAAAATTGGGCACTGTCTCATATCTGACTGTCATACAACACAGACTCTGCTCTCCCCTGCAGTGTCACTGTGTGCACTGTGTCACTGTGTGCAACTCCCTGCTGCCACTGAGGGCTTTGCAGTGATGGCACTTGAGTGGCAAGATCCATGTGTGGGTGACCCTGATGTGTCAGATCCACTCACAGTGTGGGTGCCATCCCCCCGTGGCTGAAGGGGGGTGCTGCCACTCCCCACCATCCTGCAGAAAATGCTGCTAGAAAATAGTTATTTCTGAACAAATAGATACTAATAGTAGAGTGTAGGCAGCTACAACGGCAAACAGGGCCACAATTTAGGCAAGCCTAATTAATACATCAGGTTCCTTGTCTCTTCCATTGAATCACACCTAGCTGAATCTTCCATCGAATCACTCCCCACAATCCTATAAAAAAACTGCAGTCCAAGTGTTACATTTAGCTTGGCCCCTTGATTTTTGGAACTAAAATAGTAAATCAGTGAAAATAAAGGTCTCATTGGTAGTGTTGAAATAGGCATTCTTGATGTACAAAAAAACTGCTCTCCATGCAGAGAGCTAGATATGATTCCATGGAAGAGACAAGGAACCTTATGTATTAATTTGGTTTTGCCTAAATTGTGACCCTGTTTGCTGTTGTAGCTGCTTACACTACACTATTAGTAGCCTTCTATTTGTTAAGAAATAACTATTTCCTAGCAGCATTTGGAGTGCACTGAGCTGCATTAAAACACCTTCAAACGATGAATTAATGTGCCATGTTGGTTCTGTGATTTGCACTGTGGTTCAAGGGGGTTGGCATGGCATGGATCAGCCAACCCCACAGGCAGCCTGCTCTTGTTGGGGCTGCTCCACAGAGAAACAGCCCCTGACACTCAGCTGTTGTTTCAGCTGGTGTATTTTTAAGGACAAAGGAGCTCTGCCCCTGCAGAACACAGGATCCCATCCCATGATGTCTGCCCAGGGCAGTTTACCTCAAACCTTCAATGGGCAATACACAAGATGTTTGTGATGGGGCACTAAGCCCCAGGAATGCCATAAAACCTCAACAAAATGCATATTTTATCATAAAAGCAGAATGAGCTTTTATGGTGGAAAAAAAAATCTTATTTGGTGAAATAATGGGTGTATTGTGCCAGAATTGCTGTTAGAGCCAGGAGACATGTAAACATGCATCTTTCTAGAGTATCTGGGGTCAAACCCTCGTGGTTTTGATATCAGTGGCAAATCTGCAGTTGGCAGCTGTTGATGCAGCCAAGATTTCAAGGAAATGGCCTTTGGGGAATTCCTTTGCTTGGGCCCTGTGGCCATGGACAGCAGCAGCACAAATAATTTTTCTCTTTGTCATTTTCTATGCCCCTGTAAAACCCTTCACGCATTCCAGCTGCACTATCAATAAAAGCATACAAATCTGTTTTGAATAATAACTTCCCTAAGTCATTAGTTTCGTGGAAATTTGTACTGTCTGAAAAGTGAGGGGAATCTTTTTCCCATGGGAGCACAGCAGGAACTGGATCCCCAGCACTCCTCACAGCTGGCCCCTTGGTGTCTGGGCTTTGCAGGTGACCTCTTGTCTGCCTGGTGTGCCATTCAGCAGATTCCCTACAATAATCATTGTCACTACTTCATTTTTTGTCCTGTGGAAAAAAATACCTGTGGCCCTCAGAGAACTGCCTGGCTACCCCTCACAATGTGTCTTGGTTGTTGAAAGTAATTTTTGGAGCACTTTGTCCTTTTCCTGGGCTCCCCATATCTCTGGCTGTGGTGCCAGGACCTAAAGCTGCCTTGCTGGAGTGGGATCAGTGACCATGGAGGTTTCCAGATTCTGGTGGGAAGCAGGCAACGTTGGTCTAAGGAACCTGTCTTTTCTTAAATGAAGTGTCTCTGTTTCAAAAGCCAGTCCCTGTCTCTTGCTGCAGAACAAGAATTAATGAGCTTACACTGCAACTCAGGTTATGAGGGAAACCCTTCAGGTGCCGAGGGGAGCGAGAGGAGGAGGAGGAGGAGTTATTTCTGAGGCTGAAGGCTCTGGGGCAGATGGAGCTGCTCAGCTGGCACCTGCCAGCTGCCATTCAGGGTGACCCACTGATTCAGGGGTAAAGCCACCTCTCAAGAGTTTTTCCAGCTCCTCTCAGGGGTTTGGTGTTTCTAAAAGCAGGTTGCATGGTGACAGAGCAGGGGCAGTAACTTACACAGATGAGAAGGGCAGGGATGGGAGTGCAGTTCTTGACATGGATCATGGCCAGCAAACTTGGCAAGTGGCCTTCCCGAGCACCAGAGAAACACAGCCTGGAAATAAGAAGGGTAATGATGAATCCACTGGGTGTGCAACAGCCTCTCCAGTCCCTAGCCACACAACACCTCTTATCTCAACCACTGCTCTGGTTTTCTCATGGAAAGGAGCTGTGGCTGCAGAGACAGCAGCTGTGTCCCTGGGGAAGGGTATTTAAACTAAACCCTGCAGGGTACAAGGCCTTTAACAGCTAATGTCACCTGGGAACAGACCTGCTCTGAGATGCCAGAATACCTCCAAGGACTATCTGCTGGCCAGAGCTGTCTCTTTACCCAGTGAGGGGTGAATGCTCTGAAGGTTGTGTGGGTATTTACAGTGTCAAAAGGGGTTTGGATAAGGTTTAACATGCCTTAGTTTTCACTTTTTAGTGTATAGCCTGTTACATATGCACTCCAATTTGTTGCATTTCATCATACCCATGAAATGGTTGGGAAAAATAATTTTCCCAAGGTACTTCAGCTGTTTTCTCAAAAAACTTTGTAACTTCTAAATTAAATTAAGACAGGTCAGTTATTATAAACAGACTTTATTGGTTACACTCTTACAGACTTTACAGATTCTGGCCCAAATATCAGCAGTATGCATGCAAAGCATCTTGCTTGAAAGGTGATTTTCCAGCATTAAAATGCCTGTAACTGAGTACAGCACCAGGCCCTAAAACTCCTCCTTGAGCAAAGCACAGTTTAGCTGTGAGCTACTGGAACTTTATTGACATAAAATTACTTTGGTTCCATGCCAAAGCTGTGTTTGGCTCTTTCTGTGAATTATTCCACATCTGCAAACACTTTCAATAACTCATGAGGGTTAATTTGCAAGAAATTTCATGATTCAATATTACATTTGCTGATTTGAAACAGAATAATTCACAACTGATTGTATCCAACACACCCAACAACAAACTCATGCTCTACAACATCCAAAATGTCTAGCTAGCATTTCTCTAGCAAATGCAATTAAAACAGCCCCTCCCCAAATCAGATAATGTTCATAAAATTGTACTCCATCTAACCTTGATGAGGTAAAAAGGTATCCATTTATTCCTCCAAATGTAGATAGGGCCACTGAGACTGGCATAACCCAGGAAAAATAGCCCAGTAACTTTTCACCAAATGTCTAAAGCAACAGAAGGCAGAGAAACTGAAACACACTGCAAAGCAGAGCACTGAAATCAAAGTGTGTTTGACACATCCAGGGAATGGTTTTACTTACTACCGCCACAGCGTTGGAGGACAAGAGCTCTTGGGGAGACATGGCAGTGAAATATGCAATGTTGGTGAACGTGTACACAAATGTCACCAATGGGATGGATATGAATATGGCACGAGGCAGGTTCCTAGTAAAAGAATGAGGAGGGTAGATAAGAAATTACAGTCATGCACAGCGAGACCACGACGACGGTGTGGGGCCTGGGGCAGTCATGCATTTGGGTGGTTCCTTGGTGTTTTCTGAGGGAAGCAGAGCTTCCCCCAGCTCTCTGACCACTGCAGGTTAGGGAAGGCCACAATGGAATGCTGTGTCTGCAGGGAGCTCCAGGGGACAGATACAGGAGCTTCCTTGGGGCTCTTGACTGGGACTGGCACAGAGCGGTACTGAAAAATCCCCAAAAGCCCTGGGGACAGCACCCTGGGGAATAAAATGTCTTGCTTTGCTTTACCTTCACCTGCTCTGAAAAGGAAGGGGATCCTGTTGTTCAGCTGCTGCCCTGGCCCATTGTGTGCCCTGAACCTGGTCAGGACATACAGCTTACAGTAGTACAGATGCACTTATCTCCAGCCCAGAGCCTTCCTAGAGGTGCACACCTGAGCTGGTCTGTGGCTAACAGAATGCATTTTTCTCTCAGAAAATTTGTGTCAGATTTGGGAATAAAGTTTTTAGAAAGCATGTTTAACCTTGTGATTTGTGAATTTGAATAGATTTAGTAAGAAGTAGTTTTGTTTGTCCAATTTTTTTAATACTTTAATTTCTCCACTAAGGCTGCAACAATAATAATAATAAAAAAAAGCCCATTTGCTCCATTCTCTCTTTATTTCTCAACTAAGGCCATATTTACCTTATTTAAATAATAACTTTTTTATTATTCAGCTTTGAAATCATGGTGGCCCATTAAAATATTGTTGTTTAATAATGACCACACTTTCTTTATTCCTGCCAAGATTTCTGGACACACACTTTGCCACTCGCTGGTGTGCAGAGATGTTCATAAGGCTGTAGCTTTAATTCCTTCCCATCCAAGCTGTAACTGCTTACATTTCTTGTTGTTTAATTGCTGTGTGCACTGGATGCTCAGAAGTAACTAATGCTCCAAGAGCTGCTCCTGACATTTGCCATTCCACTTTATTAACTCAGAAATGCTGAAACATTTAAGCTTTGCTGAACTAAAATTCCCTTTCCCTCCAGCCCTCTCAGCCTGCTTGTGATAAATCCTTTGCAAGCCCTTCCCACAGCCAGGATCAGCAGTGACCCAGGGTAAGCTGCCTTGGCAGGAGGGGCACAGAGTGCCACTTTCACTGCACAGCCAATCATCCCTTTCAGGTGTCTGTGGGAAGCTTTGGGTGAAAAAGCAAAGCAACTTCCAGGGAAATTCAACTTTTTTAAGACAAAGAAGATTCTTGCTGCAGATATTTGTGTGGCACCTCACCCATGGTTAATTTTCTCCTATGGAAGGTTGAGTACGATTGAATAGTGACATAAAGATACTGCCTTGTCTGTGGGGTGCTTCCATTCAGTTCACACCTAATTCCAGTGTTTCTGTAACGTGCCTGCTATCTGTTCTGAACAAAACTCTCTCTCCTTTAGAAGGACCAGTCCCACGGACACGGAATGCCATTGCAGCCCCTTATGAAATGAGCAGTGCTACCAGACAGCTCCAAAGTCCTAGCCCTCCAGGGAGAGCATCAAGGAGTGGATACTTGCCTGCGGGGATCAACCAGCTCGTCTCCTTTAGAAGGACCAGTCCCAGGGACATGGAATGCATTGCAGCCCCTTATGAAATGAGCAATGCTACCAGACAGCTCCAAAGTCTGAGCCCTCCAGGGAGAGCATCAAGGAGTGGATACTTGCCTGCGGGGATCAACCAGCTCCTCTGTGACATAGTTCAAGAAGTTCCATCCACTGAATGCAAAGGACCCTTGAAGAAAAGCTAATGCTAAATGTCCCACAGATGGAGTCATCCAAAATCTGAATGCATTGCTTGGTGTCAACTCTTTGTAGTTTCCTGCATAGAGAGTGCAAGCCAGATGTTAGGTCACACCTACCTACCTCACAGGCTTCAAAATAGGTAAGATTTTGCTTTTTATTCTTTATTAGAACTGAGACTTCATGCTGTTCCTGCCACCATGGGCTGACACAGCAGCTGCAGTGCTTTCTGCAGGACAGGGTCCTGGTCAGGCAGTTCAGGCTCCCCTGGCACCCTCCACCACATCTGTGCCACAGCAGCTCATGAGACCCTTTGGCAACCTGCACTGGCTGAGGGTGGATCCTTGGCAGTGCAAATTCCTACCTGCCCTTAATGCCAATCTCTTTTACAAGAGTTTGGTGTTGTTTAGTAGATATCCTTGAAAATAAAACGTCTATGTGTCTGAAAGATTTGTCAAGACTGTTGGACTAGCACCACTAGGAAAACAAGTTTTCTGTTCTCTGTAAATGTCACATTTCTTCGTCCTTTATATAACTCATCATATACATGATAAAAATATTACAAGTCTTTTGTACTTTTGGCTTTCCAATGAATGGTGAATCAGCGAGACATTTTTCACCTATCTTTAATCTTATAAATGACTTTTTGTAGGAAATTGGACTAGTGCCTGAAATGAAGCAGGTATCTTCCTGCCCTAGGCAAGGTATTGCTTATTCCTTTTACATCCAGAGCACTTCAAATTCAAGGAATGCACAACAGATTAAAAATGTTAAGTAACTATTCCAAAGAGAAAAGAAGTTTTCTGCTCTCTGTAAATGTCACATTTCTTTGTTCTTTATTTGACTCATCACATACATGATAAAAATATTATAAGTCTTTTGTACTTTTGGCTTTCCAATGACTGGTGAATCAGTGAGACATTTTTCACCTATCTTTAATCTTATAAGTGATTTTTTTTTAGGAAATTGGACTAGTGCCTGAAATGAAGCAGGTATCTTCCTGCCCTAGGCAAGGTATTGCTTATTCCTTTTACATCCAGAGCACTTCAAATTCAAGGAATGCACAACAGATTAAAAATGTTAAGTAACTATTCCAAAACGTTGTGAGCTGCTCTCCTTTATTCTGTCAAAAACCTACAAGGGGGACTGGAAAGGGACTTTTTTAGGGGGATACAGCTGATTTCTCCCTTGTGTCATACTTCCCCAGCTGTGTCAGTGTGCAGTCCCACAGCCTGGCAAAACCCAGCACACCTTCAGGTCAGTTTGTAAGGAGGAAACATTGCAGTGAGGAGAAAAAATCAAGTCTATCAACAGCACCATAGCAATGTTAGAGCTGTCTCACAGAGTACCTTTAAAGATCTGTATGAAGCCCACAATAATGATTAGGGTCAGGGCTAGGAGTTTTCCTGCTGTGAATATATCCTGAATGCGCGTCGCCCATCGCACGCTGGAGCTGTTCACCCACGTCAGGAGGACTGCAGAGCAAAAGACTGAATTCAGTGAAATGAAATTATGTTTATCTAAGAACATACAGACAAAGTAGTGACAAACACACTCATGTTCCTGCAGGGAGCTCTAGCGTGGCTAGTAATGAGGGTGAGGAGGAGCATTGCCTTTCCCAAGCTGCAGGGCACCCTGGCAGTGACCAGCCCTGTGGGTGCTGCCAGAGGGGCTCTCCCCAGCTCAGTAACTGTGCCTGAGCCGTGCCCAGCGTGCCAGGATCATTGGCTACTCACAGGAACAGGGAAAGTGTTCAGCCCTGCAGCTCAGGTTTGCTTCTGCCAGCCCCAGCAGTGGCTGCTGCAGAGCTGGCTGCACGCTGCCTGCTGCACCCTCACCTGTGTGATGTGAGAGAAGATGGGAAGAGCTCAAAGGTCACCTGTGCCAGGTGCCCATGGTTCTGCAGCACTGCCCATCCCACATGCTCACCTGGCACCGCTTTCCCTGCACCCACAGGGGTTTGGGTGCCTTTGTGGCTCCCTCCAGGCACTGCAGTTGCTGTGGGCACATGGAAAGGGACAGAATTGCCCCATCCTGTCACAGTGCCTCTCCTGGGAGCTCCCCACTGGCCTTTGGAGCTGGGGCCCTGACCCCAGCCTGGCTGCAGTGGCCCCTCCAATGGTCCCTTGTAAAACCAGGGCAAGATTTGTGTGTGTGCAAGAGGCAAATACTTACGTAAACACACCATGGAGAGGATCCTGGAGGCATTGTAGGGGGGAATACAGTTAGGGAAGACAGGCTGCAGGACATAGTTTGAGAAGGTCAGTGCAATGACAGCCAGACTAGTTGGGTACATGATAAGCACCGCACTCCACAGCAGCAGAAACCTGGAAAGACAAGGAAAAGCACAAGAGAGCAGTGCTGGTGCTGTGCTGGAGGAGGGCACACACAGCCAGCTGTGCACAAGGTGTCAGGGCTGAGCACCTCCATCCTGGTCACACACACCAGAGTGACTCCCCTCAGCCCTTCTTCCATGTTTACAGCAAAATCTGTATTTTAAATGAAACCTTGTAAAGCAAAGCATGGTTTAGGAACGTGTGGAAGAGCGAGGATTATGACCAGCAGGCATGTTTTGGTTTAACTCTGTGTCTAGAAAGGAGCTCTGCTGCTCCTGGGCTGACATGTCACCACAGCAGACAGTAGTCCCCACACTGAGGGCACCTCTGAAGGGTTTTGCCTGCAGCCATAGGCAGCAGCTGTACTTTTGGGGCTGCTACCAGCTCCCTGCTGGTCACTGGGGGCTTTCTTGTCACCACTGGTGTTGGCTCTGTGACCCAGGCCAGGGCAGATGTGCTGCAGTATTTTGTGATGGGTCTCACAGCTGGGCTGGCTGCCTGCCTCCAGCTGTGGCTTAAGGTGATTGCACCCAACAAGGTATTGTGCAAATATAAAGTGTGAGATATTTTGGTTTTTCATTCTGTTCAAAGAGAAAAAAAAAAAAGCTAAAAAGGCAGCAGTGGATGAGGTAAGTATTTAAAAATATTTGAAATATTATTATTTCTATAGTGAGTAGTCATTGCAGACAGTGAAGTTTTTCTTGCCATGCATATGCACACACAGACACACACAGTTCACATGCATGCACAAATATAATATGCAGGGATGCATGACACAAACGAGGATTTGAAATGATATTTCCAAATATGACAGTACAATTTCTATATCACATGGGTAGCTCTTTAGGGGCTGCACCCGCCCAGGGTGCTCCCTGCTTCCAGCCCTGAAATGTGGCACAGCTGAGGGAGCCTCTCTCTGTGCCATCAGCCTGGAGGGAGTGCTGCTGGCTGGGTGCTCCTCAGCTGAGGTGGAGAATGTCTCTCAGTCCCATCCTTCACTTTGCCTTCCTGTTCCTGAGAAGGATGGGGCAATTAATTAACAGTTAATTTGGTAACCAGACCAATGTAAGAGCTGGGTACCTTCCCAGCTGCCACTGTAGTTTTTTACAATAAACTCAACAGTTTTTTACTTTCTCTTTATTTTGTTGTGTGAATCAGTTTTTGGTTTTTTACCCCACTCAATTTCTAAAGTTTTTCATCGTGGTTCAGAGCAGTTTTCTCCAGTGATTGCTTTGTGCTATTTGGTGTTGTTGATGATGTACCCAGCTTGGGACAGCTCTGCAGATCCTGCTTGCTGAGTTAACTCAGCTGGTCCACACTGAAGAATAAACAGGACCCAAAGACTACAATAACAATTAGCTGAATATGATTAGGATACTGATGGTGCTGCCTGGGCTCAAGCTGTTTTGTGTGGCTGTTGACTGGCAGGGCCCAGGCAGAGGCTACCAGTTTTTCCCTGTCATGTTTATCTTCACCCATACAAATTTTATACAAATTTTTAGCCTATACATGTAGGCTGAGAATTGTGTAAAATATTCAGTGGGGGGAATAACTCTGAACATACTATTTCAGGCAAAATTGGCCCTTGTTTCTGTGCTGTAATATGGAGTGTAATGTAGCTGGTATTGGGAAGAGCATGGTTTAGAAGGGAATGGATTAATGACAGTCATGGAATTGAAATGCAGGATTGATAACACAAATTAAAGCAAATGCATTATTTAGCAGAGGGGGGACAAAATTGCACTGTCAAAGGTGAAGCTCAAAAGAGAGATGGCAGCAAAACAAGAAGGAAGCTTTGCCTAAGGTGTAGGCCCACTTTTATGGTGTTTCTATAGGTAAGTTTTAATCAAAACCTATTTCTGAGGAAAAGATCACCACGCTGGTGACTGAGATCACATCCCATCCCCAGACAAGCAGCTGTGGGGGCCAGGGGCAGTGCTGCCATGTGCTCACAGTGCCAGCAGCTGCCAGGGCAGCATGAGGACCTGGAGTTTTCCTGGGAAAATGGAGAGATGGTGGGGAGATGATGTGGGAGATGACACAGCATAACACACCTGGAATGAGGTTGGCACACCTGCGCTGGCATGTGCTCACATGAGGAACTGGAGCTGGCTGGGAATGGCTTTCCTGGGAAAATGGAGAGATGGTGGGGAGATGATGTGGGAGATGACACAGCATAACACACCTGGAATGAGGTTGGCACACCTGGAATGACTTGGTTCTTCAGAAGGGAAAGTGGCAGAATTATTGTCCTGAGGGCTGAGCTACAGCACTGGAGATGGGGATGGAGATGGAACTCCACTCTACAGCCTTTCACTGTTACTCAGTAGCTGTGATTAAAAAAATAAGAGAAGCTAAACCTTCTCTTGTTGCTGACTGAGAAGTGATCAGATCTTTTTAACAGGTTTGAGACAGCTGAATGTAAAGAAAAAAGAAGATGCAGCTCTTTGGCTGGTTTTGCTTGGTTTTGGTTGTTTGGGGTTTTTTTTTTCTGAACACTGGAGTTTGTAGGAGAAATCTGAGCTCCTGCACGTGCTGGTGGTGAAGGAGCTGGTGAAATAACCTCTGTGCCTGTATTCTAGCACTGGCTGGATGGCCTGTAAGATGCAGCTCTTTGGTTGGTTTTGCTTGGGTTTGGTTGGTTTTGATTGTTTGGGTGGGTTTTTTTTTTCTCCTGAACACTGGAGTTTGCAGGAGAAATCTGAGCTCCTGCATGTGCTGGTGGTGAAGGAGCTGGTGAAATAACCTCTGTGCCTGTATTCTAGCACTGGCTGGATGGCCTGTGCTGTGTTTGGTCGTTGAGCCTGATCCAAAGTTCACTGAAGCTAATGGCCCACAGTCCCATCAGTGTGTATATGACTGAGATCCTCTCTACTCAGAGCCCATGCCCCTGCCTTAGAAACAGCCCAGAGTGAGTGGTGCCAGCAGCTGCTCCTGGGGAGTGTGACATTCATGTGGAGTGCTACTCATCCCTGGACCAAAACGGAATTTTTTTGTAGTTACATCTGCATAGTAATTCCCTCACCTGTGGAAAGAAATAAACAACATGGTTTCATCTGGGTCCTAAATAATCTAGTGGACTTGGTGAAACTGGTTCTCAAATATCTATTTGGGATGTGCTATATTCCCGATCTCGAATTAGATGTGTTATTTGTGGATTCAAAGCAGCCTGTGAAAATACAAAATTCCAGTGTACCCTACCTGTGCATCACTAGCAAAAGAAAAGGGTTTGAAACAGGTGCTATAGTACAACTCACCTCAGTACAGTTCAGGAAAACTGAGCTGGTTTAAGCTGGAGCCAGTTAGAACACTATTAATGCCATCCTACTTACTGCCTTTGGAAAATTCAAAATTTTGCAATAACAAAAAAGAACCATAAAAGTATATTTGAAGCATGTTACACTTGCAGTTTAGAGTGGCACTTATCAAAGCTTTGGCTGCAAACTCTCCACTGATTTTGGTAAGGACACCTGCAGTCAGCAGGCTGTGCTGGTGAAGCAGCTGTGTTAGCTGCAGCATTACTGCTGAGCTTTCAGGAGGAGTTGTATTGATCAGAAGCTCTCTGGAGGGTTTTTCGTGAAGCTGGATTTATTAAGAATACCTGTTAGGCCTTTATTTATTATTTGGGGTAATGTTCTTTTTGCCCAGACTTGCAGGCCCACATGCATGCAAGGAGAGCTGTGCTCAGAGGGCTCCTGCAGCACAGGCTGTGGGCATTCCCTGCAGTTTGTGCTCACACACAAATGTTATTTAAAACCACAATAATTCCTAAATAGAGAGGAAAGCAGACTCTTTCTCTGGTAACACTGGAACCCTTCCTCACCTCTTCCTTCTCCCTTGGCCACAGGAGCTGGGCAGTGTCTCTGCTCAGGGCTGTCCCCAGCCAAGGTTTGCCACCACCACTGCTCAGCAGTGTTTCAGGCTGTCCTCGAGCTAGCCAGGGCTGCTGCTCTGCAGCCACAGCTCCTGCCAGCTCAGCAGATGGCCCTGTCCTGCCTCTGCTGTTGCATTCACCTCCTTACATCACACCTAGCCATGTGTGTGATGAACTTTTCAATAAAAAGTTATGCATCCAGCTATCAGTACTGCCAGACACAGAAGCTGGGGCATGAAGTACTCCAGTGGCTGTCACAATCAAATAGTATTTCTTTGTGCCTTGTATAGGCAGGAAAACCTGCATAGATATATATATATAAATAATAAATGGGAGGATTTTGGGAGACTGGGACAAGACAAAAGAAGTGGAGTTGCTGTGGTCTGGGTGGGTACAGCATGTGCACTTACAACAAACACCTTTTTATGAATAGACCAAAACATCCAGCTGGTCACTGGGAAAAGCAGATGCACAGGAAAGGCAGGGGCACCAAAGCTTTGTGTGCTGAGTTTGATGTACTCAGCTGTAGAAGGATTACATCAAAAGAGAGCAGCAGAGGTTTTTATCCCAGGCAGGCACAGTGCAGGCCCCTGGAAGCTCAGCCTGCCTGTGACCTGCCAGTGCTGGATGGGCACTCCCAGGTGGGAACCTGGAGGTGCTGGAGCTCCCCAAAGCTGCAGCCTTCAGGTGGTGGCTCAGAAAAGGGCAGCAGGGCAGAATCCCAGCTTGGCTTTACTGGAAAATATGACCCAAATTCCCCTTTTATGCCAAAACTGCCTGATGGTTTTTGTCTAATGCAATCCTTTGTCATAATAGTGGAACTATTTAGTTTCTTGAGAGAAGAGCTCACATCTCTACACAGGAAGGATGGGAGCACTACTTCCCTTCAGGTGACAGGTTGTGCTTTTTTGATATTGCTTGTGCATTACAAGCCTGGACACCAATTAATGCTGCCCAAGCAGAATTTCCTGCCTTGGGAGGTGAGACTGTCCCCAGGGACATGCTGGGGAGTGATCAATCAGAGGGTGTGTGGTTTGTTACAGCAGCTGCACAGCTTGGTGTTTGCAGGGATCAGGGAAGTTCTCTGAATGTGGCAGAGGGAGCTGAGGAGCAATTTAAATTCATTTTAATTAAATTACATTTAATTTTAGTTGCACTTGATTTCTAAGTAGTTTCATTTCCCCCCCTAGGAAGCACAATTCCTCTGGCTTTGTGGATCTCATGTTGCTGGCCTCCTTCACAGTGGTGTTCCAGGGATGGGACTTGTGGCAGTTTGTGGGGTTCTGTGCTCTCAGCCCCCTGTCCCAGCTTGTACACACTGCTCCTGTCAGCAGGCAGTGGCCTGGAGAGCAGGAGCTCTGCTGTGCAGCTCCTGCCCCAGGAGGGAACACACCTGAGTGGAGCTGGGATTTGGTTAGCCAAGCCAATGCTGTTGTTGCTGCTCTGTGATCTCAGTGTACTTTTCTGTGCAAAGCAGGACAGCAGTCAGAGACTCCATCCACTAAAGAAACACAGAATTCACGAACCAGCAGGAGGCAATGGCTGAAGCTTGACAAGCATCAGAAATGCACCTTGTGAGCAGGCAAGTCTGCAGTGCTGGCTGTGCCCTGTGCCTGTGTGACACTGGGCTGAGGCAGGCATGAGAGGACAGCCTTTGGGACAGGGTGACACACTGCCTGTGTTATGCCTGTTCTGATTTGTCCTTGCTCAGCAGCCAGCAAAACTGTTATAAGCTCATTTTCCATCTAACATGAGAAGGAATTCTCTGGTTTGGTGGGGGTTTTTTCCTTAGTCTTTCTCTAGTTTTCTGTACTGGTGCTTATTTTTCTTAACTAAGCCACCAGCACATGTTATGGCCTCTCTACTCACAATGAGAGAGCTGCTAAGAACATTCTGGTGCTACTCTAGTAGTCTTTGAGTACAGGCTGACAGCTTAATTTATTGTGTGGAATACATCAAAAAGCGTACAATGAAATAAAAAAGATAACCTCCTCTCACTTGTCCCTTCCTCACCTGGCCACACTACTCCCTCAGTACTATTTTCAAAGAGAAATCCTTCCCTGAGTTAGCATTCCCCCCTCTCTGTGTTTACAACTCTTGGTTATTCTGGACAGCAAGTCAAGCAGCTTTGCTTTATTTTGGGGAGTAGCTGCAGCCTGGCCTGGGATGGGTAAAGCTCCTCAGCACCAGGCACTGATCATTGATGGCTTGCACACAGGAGGATCACTCGGACACAGCATCACCCTCTTCTGCCCTGGACTTTGGGGCAGTGAGGGAAGTGAAAGGATCTGTCACCTTCTCTTGAAAAACAGCACTGGGAGGTCTGTGTAGGGACAATTTGGTATTTCTAACAGAGAACAGAAAGATTGATTTTGCTGAAGCATTTTTATTGACAAAGGTTGTCTCTTCCAAGTCCGATGGCTTTCCCACACCAAACACACGACAGAAATGTGCTTTCAAATGAGTTTATAGAGACAGGGTACTTACCCAGCTAACCCACCAAAAATCTCTGTGACATAGGAATAATCCCCTCCCGACTTGGGGATGGTGACCCCCAGCTCAGCGTAGCAGAGCGAGCCCAGGGCAGCCACGCCTCCACCGAGCACCCAGATGATGAGAGCCAGGCCCACCGAGCCCGCGTGCTCCAGAACTCCCTTCGGGGAGATGAAGATCCCAGAGCCTATGATGTTACCTGCAAGGGACAACACGTCAGCAGTCAGGACAAAGAAAGGAAATAGCTGGCTTTTATTTATTCTGAACAAGACAAACAAGCCCAGAGCCCCCACTCAAATAAAAAACTCAGCCATGCCACCCCCGTGCTCCCCTTTCAGATTTTGCATGACTGCAGTTTTTTCTGATTATGCCCTGACAGAGGTGTTGCCAGCAATGAAAAGTGGTAAATTTGTGTCCACCTCTGCTGAAGTCTCAGCTGAGGATCCATGAGTTTTCTGCCATCAACTTCCTCAGCTTGCATAACCCTCAGCTGCCATGCCCAAGCATATTACTGCAAGGAGTAAGAAGTGACTTTGTACTGAAGACTTTTCATCCACTCCTATGAGGAATTTGAACAAGTTAAGGTCCATTTCCAGGGAGTTTGGAAGGTCAAAAAATAAGAGAGTAGCATTGTCTATAACGATGGGCCCAAAGGGCGTGTTTGCCACCAAGGATGGATTTAAGATTGAGCTTGAAAAAGTAATCTCAAAGCCTGAAATATTAAAAATCCATAAAGCATTTTGTACTTCCAATACCTGTGCTGCTTAGTGATCGGCCATGAAATTTAAAGTTATAATGTGGCATGGCTAAAATATTGGACAATATGAGACAGTTGAGATGATGTGAGCTGAAGCAGTGCCGGGTGTAGAAAAGGAGTGCTGGAAACCTCCAGGTGCTCTTTTTCCATGTGGGGCCAGCGTGTGTTACATGGTGGGTGAGCAGCTGGCTCAGGGTCGGGCACAGAGGGTGGCAGTGGCCGGGGTGACACCAGGCTTGCTCAGAGTCTGAGCCTGCTGACTGTGATTGGCCATTAATTAGAAACAACCAACATGCCCCAATCACAGATGCACCTGTTGCATTCCACAGCAGCAGATAGTTATTGTTTACATTTCTTTCCTCAGGCTTCTCAGGAGAAAATCCTGGCAAAAGGATTTTTCAGAAAATATCATGGCTATGCTCATGCATATGGGGAAAGACCTTAACTGATAAAATCCCCTTAATGATCTGCTACCTGCCAGCATACATACCTGTCTACCTGCATTTTCCACAGATCAACGTGCCTGAAAACACTGCACTGCTGGGAGGAGCTGCTGGTATTCTGGGGAGCATGCTGAAGTTCAGACATAGTGTTTTTTACCAAGACATATCTGTAGGTTTCCCTTGCCTCCTTGGGATGGAGTCACATTCCTTTCTGGCCACTCCAGCACTGACCAAATGCCCAAAGACAGAATAACCCCTAAATGGGTCCACTGCCATCTCCTCCTGCTCTTGTTCACTTTAGCTCAGGTTTGCTGCTATTTTTGGCAGCAAAGAGCAGATGCAAATGCTCACCCTTCAGCAGGCTCTCAGTTTCCACCCCTATCCCTTGGGTCACCTTTCCATGTTGTCCATACACGAGGAAAGGATGCAATCCAAACACAGCCTGGCATCCCTCAAACTGGTAATGGACAAGAAACCCAACATTTCAGGGTGTCTGCAGAGCTGCTCGTGCTGCTGGCAGGGGCTGAGCTGGGCTCTCTGTACCACTCAGCTGCTGTGGGGATGGACAGACCTGCAGCAGGGTGGGGAATGGAGACACAAGCATCAGCAGCACCGTGGGAAGCAGTGTGACCTGGCCATGCTGTGATGAGCCCAGGGGAGAGAGCTGGCTCCTGGGGAGGTGTAACTGCAGGGAGCAGGTTATGGTAAGACTGCCAAAGCAGTCCTCCTCATCTGCAACTCTGAGCTGGAAACAGCCAGAACTTTCTTTGTTTAAGGAGAATACATTCTGGGTGTAACTATCTGCAGGACAAGGACCAGACAGATTTCTGGATAGTTCTTTCATACAAACATTCTACTAATTTATTTTGTAAATTAAGTAGTGAATCATATTATTAAAAAATGTAATATCCTTCATGACTGAATAAAGAATAAGGCAAAATTGCCTTCCAAAGTCATTATGGATTTCATATTACTTTGCATTCACAACATGTGCAAAATCCATATCAGTAGGAGTGGAAGTGCTACACCCCTTCTGATAACAAAATGTTCTCATGAAAATCTGCCATGAATGTGGTAAATGTGCCCAAAAAGTACCTTCACTTCACTTGGTGTAGGACATGTTTAAAAATAGGTGTGGTGGAGATACTGAAATGCTCCAGAAATTATGGTGTCAGAAACTGCCTGATGAGAAGCAGTTTTCAGGAGGTCTTGGTCAGCAGGAACTGGAGGGAATTTGGTGAGCAGCTTTAGGGGTGAGAAAATGCAATATGCACTCTTTCCCATACATACCATGGTATTTTGTCATCTCTTGTTTCTTGGTGTTTGTTGCCTTTTTTCCTCCTTTTCACAATAATATGGAATACTACGACAACCTCAGCTTTTGTTTAAAAATTATGTTACCAACCCTTATGAGTCAGAAGGCAAGCAAAATATCCTGAAATATATATATATCACTTTTGAGATCTTATCCAGTGTCATGATTATTATTATTTTTTTTTTGGGACAATGTTGAGAGCAGTTTCCACATCCTAGAAAAATAGGAAATGGGGGAGGGGAATAAAAAAGAAAAAAAAAAAAAGGAAAAAATGTCTGTGTCTTTTGTGTCTTTTTATCTCTCCAGTCAAGTAACATATCCAGCAGTGCTGGTAGTAAAATTAGTAGAATGTTTGCATGGAAGAACCATCCAGAAATCTGTCTGATCCTTGTCCTGCTCCTGCAGATAGTTGCACCCAGAAATTATTCCCCTCAAACAAAGAAAGTTCTGGCAGTTTCCTGCTCAGACAAAGCTGCAGATGGGGAGCCCAGCCTGTCCTCTGTGAGCTGCTTGCTCAGCCCAAGCAGCCCAGCTTGTGGCTCCTGGGTGGGGTGAACCCAACCCAGCTCTGCCACACGGCTGTGAAGGGGTCCAGCCTCTGCCATCAGCCATGCTCCATCTCTCACTCAGTGCAAGTGGGTCCCAAACCTGGTTTTCTGTGAAAAGAATGCCAAACCCCCCACCCTTTCAAATCTCCAGTTGTTTGTCTAATTCTGTTTAGGATCTTTTGTGACCTGGCCCTGTAGTGGGTTTCCCACACCAGTCACACACATGCAGTGTGTAGTTTTGTTCTGAGGTCAGCACCTCATGTAGAGCTAAACCATTTGGGAACTGTGGTAATGATGTGAACATTGGGACATTGGGTTTATTGGAAAATCCAGTGTTTTCATTTTGCCTTTGGCTTTTGAACTATGAGAGTGCATTTGGGGTCAGGTATGGGGTTTTGATGTCTTTTAATATAACTATGAGAACTGAAACTCATTTCTTAAACAAAAGCTGAATCCTCACCAAGACACTTCAAGAACTGCACTTTGAAGGAAAACAGTATCCCTGTGCTTGTGAGAAAATAAAGGAGCTTGGCAATACTTGGTATATTCACTTAGTATGCAAAATCCTTAGGGCATCTTTTATTCATCTGCAGCACACAATACACACAGACTATAAAAACAGTGGATCTTGCAGCCTGTTGAAAGTATCCATCAGTTCTGTAAGAATAGATTTATTATATGTAGAGACCATATTTGGTATTCCTTGGATAAAACCAAACAATTTCCTGTATAGCTAGCAAAGAAAAATATCACTCATGCCTTTTTATTGCATGCACATTTCTGTAAAGATCTGTTGTACATCTGAAATTCTGAGTGGATCAGTAATTTGTCTAAGCAGCTCTTTCCCCTTCAAAGTGAAGTATTAACAGCAAAGAAATTCTGTGCCTTTTTATTCTGTTCTGGGCACAGTGAGGTAAATCAGTTTGTGCCTAGTTGTTCAGTGAGGGATTAGAGCAGGCTGAAGAACTGAGCACGGTTCATGAGCAGAATCCTGCCAGACTGCTGCAGCAGTCACTCACATTCCATGGAGTGTCCTCAGGGGATGGCACTCCACACTCGGGGTGGGCACACAGCACCCAGTGCAGGGCTCAGGTGGGCAGGGTGATGCCCAAAGGCAGTGCTGGGTTAGCAGACACAAAGCCTGGGTGTCCTGCTGCCCTCAGCGCTGGTGTGCAGGTGCATCCCCTGGTTACTGAACCACAAGAGGAGCCAGTGAGACAGCTCAGTCACAGTATGAGCATCATCAGAGATGATATCCCAGCTGCAGAGTGGGTGTTTGACTGCTGCAGCTGTGACAGATGGTCTGAGTGTGTGTCTGGGTATATTTACTGTGAAGGGCAAGTCTGGCACCCGTTACTGGGTGTCAGTGTGTGCAAGCTGTAGAAAATGGAATTGGTTTTTTCTTTAAAGTAAATGTTGTGACCAACCTCATTCAGGTACAGCTCTCTCTTGATATATTGGTATACTGTATCCTCAACAGGCAGTTTTCATTGAGAATAGAATAACAATCAAAAACTTCTCCCATTCTCTCAGGACTCCCACATCTAGGTAGACATTGCCCAGGCCAACAGGATGACAGTCTGTGTCACTGCTTAAAAAAGTTCTCTTATCAACAAATGCTGAAGCTTTGCATCCTGCCTAGGAATTATAAATAAATATATCTTTTTCAGTAGAAAATATTGTAAAGAATTGAGAATCCTGTTTGGCAACAGCAACAAAGAAGCTTAATCAAAAGGAATTGTGCTTTGCAAACTGTTTAAATCCAAATTAAATATGAGGTGGATTATGTCAATAATGGTGACGATGTAACTCATCATGATATTTATTTATGTACGTATTTAGCAGAAATCTGCTAAATGAAGCAGCTTCTGGTGCAGCTAATTGCCAGTTAATTGGCTGCCAGGAGTTAAACACTCCCAGCTGAGGATGTTAGTGACCGGTTTTGACTGCCACTGCCCCTTTGTGAACTCAGGGCATGACACAGATACAAAACCAGTCAAGAAGTAAAATGAGCAGCTCATAATTTTGGTGCAAACTGGAAGTTCTGTGGCAGCACAGACAGTCCCAATGGCTCTGTTTATTCACAGTCAATAAACTTGCTGCTCTCTGCCCTGGCTGAGCTGGAGCTGTGGCTCA